ACAAGCAAACATATTACTTCTTATTCACCAATAATGTCATAAATGCAATGAGACCAACTTTTGACATAATATAGTCAATATCAGAACCAGAGCTCTGATGCCAATTGAAGTTTCAAGGAAACACGAGAAAGGTGGGTTTGAATTGGATTTCTAATATGATAAAATTTTGGAAATAAAAAAACTAACACAAGAATGATAAAAATAACACAATTATTTTTATTCTGGTTCACTATTAACTAAGCTAATCCATTCTACTCGTCAGAGTGATTTCACATTCTCAATAAGGACTTAATCCACTAATAAATCTGATTAATACTTAAAGGCCAACTGTCAATGACTTCTTGAGGCTATAGACTAAACTTAGTCCCTCAAGGAATATAATCTCAAATACAATATGTCAATGACTTCTTGAGGCTACAAATAAATCCTAGTTCCTCGAGGAATTCAATTAGAGTTAAAATACAAAGATTTTGTGTTTATAATTATGCTTCTAAACAAGAAGATAAACAATTTGAATTTCAGAATTTACACATACAAAAATATACAATGAAAATCTATAAGTGTAGTGAGTGTTGTTTCTCTTATTTCTCTTTGCTTCTTTTTGTTTCACACAGAGTTTCTCTTAGCAATTCTTTTTGCAATGCATAATTCTCTGTATCTTCGATTTCCTCATCCTCTTTAAATAAATGATGAATAGTACTGTTGGAGGATGAAATTGGAAGATGATGAATAGTATCGTTGGAGGGTGAAAAAGGAAACTTCATCAATTTCACAACAGTAGTAGTTGAGTGAGGTTGAGTCACAAAATATAGAGATCTGTTAGTAGTATTGTCCTTGAGAATTCCAGCATAGTTGTCCTCTTTAAAGAATATTTGATTTTGGCATTTGAATGTACACTACAACAAATAACGTTTTTCATGACAAAGTTTTCCCTCTCTCAAAGAAAAAACAATGTATAATGCGAAGATGCACTATCTTTTTTTTATTTATAAAAATAAAAAAACAAATATTCCCTTGGTTTTTAAAATAATCTAAGGGAAAAACAAATCAGGACACGCTTCGAATCCCAACCATTGCAGTTTATTTTCTTATTTTTTTATAAGTGAAAACTAAATGATCTAACCCCTTCGATTTTCAATAAAACCGAGAGATAAAATAATTATATCTTACTATAAAAGCACTTGTTAAACATGTTTTACCCTAATCCTTACTAATATGAAGCCGCCCCAAACTCGCATGCATTATTATTTAGGATAGATTGCAAGACAGAAAAATCTTCAATGTTTTTCTATCTAGAATTAAAAAAAATTTCTTCCCTTGCAATCTATCTCACATAATGATGTTGATGTTGTTGTTGTTGTTGTTGTTGTTATATTTTTTTATCATTTAATAGATTACAAGTGTAGAAAATTATTCTTGTTTCAAGTTACACAAAGAAGGAAGCTCAATCTTTGAAAAGTTAAAAAAAATAAGGGAGCTTAACTTTTAAGAAGATGGATATCAGCGAAAAATAAAGATTCTCATGGGAAAACAGGTCTCTAGCATATTGCATGAGACTTGAACAATCTTGGGGAGAACTAAATCTTAATATCAGTAAAGATTTGTTCCATACAACTTATTTTTAATAATCTGGCTAACATATATATTTTTTAAATAAATTAATGTATTAATATGCTGGGTAAGTAATGTAATGATTTTCGTTAAAAATTATTTAATCTTAACCCTCAGTTTTCTTTCAAAATCGAGAGGTAAGAGAAGCTAATATTTTAATTAAAAAAATTTATTCACCTCGAATTTTGACGTAATCGAAGGGATAGTTAAGCGGTTTTTTATACTATATTCACCGATCTTAAACAAATCTTAGTCGTCCATTTAATGATTATCAACATTCAAGACTCTGTCTTTAGCGATCCGCGTGAAACCTAATGGAAATCTATTATAAAAGCATGTCGAATATTGAAAATCTAACCTAAATGAAACATGATGTGCTTGAAACCTAAAGACCCTTATTTTTTTGTGAGCAGAAAATTCTCTATGATAGATTGCAAAAGCAGAAAATTATTTGGTTTAAGGTTTAATTTATGTAAATATTTTTTTAGCAGAAAGTCATTTATTTATCTAAGCCTTATTTATCTAACCTTTTGTTTTGTTAATATTAGAGACAAGTGCAAGGAAAAATCATAGAAAATATTCTGCAGCCGACATTTTCTCTTCCCTGCATCAAATATTTATTCGAAGATCTAAAATTCAAATCTTGATGGAAATTAATTTCTAATATAATAATCCATGTAAACAATATAATATTAATGATAAGTAATGTACTTTGTAAACAAATTAATGTATTAATATTCTGTGTAAACAATGTAACGACTAAAAAAAAAACTAATCTTACCACTGAGATATAAGATACGTTAATTTCGAAAATAATAAAAATGTAGTGGCTAAGATTCGAATCCATGTACGCATAACTTTACCTCTCAGTTATAATTCCACCGAGGTGATAAGTGGAGACTTATCATGACGCCCTTCGCTATTACGGTTTTTTAGCCGAGGTAAAATACATTTCGCGTCCGAGGTTAAAAGCACTTTTTGTAGTAGTGATACTATCTTTAGAAATATTTTTTCAATCATTATCCTTTTCATTGGCTTTGTATTCTTAGATGATTTGAAGCTTGATCAGAGTTCAGAGCCTTGTAGATGTAGACTTCAGAGTCTGTTTGATACCAAGTGTTGTCTTGGTTATTCAAATGATTATCCTCTACTAAAAATAAGGTTTGATTTATCATAGTGATTCTGGATTGTTTGATACAAAGTATTGTCTTGGTTATCTAGATAATTGACTGTCAGAGAAACACTTTTTCAGACTTCAACTTTGTTTCAGAATCCGATGAAGTTAAGAGTTCAGAGTTCCTTTATCTAGAGTTCACATTGTTCAGAGTTTACATTATCCAGATTTCAGAGTCCATTTTCTTCAAAGTCAATTTTTTCTTTGTTGAAACTTTGATTTATTCAGATTCTATTTTGATTTAAGAATCTAATTTATTCAGATTCAGAATATACTTTATTTAGAGTCAATTTTCATTAACTTCAAATTCAGTAAATTTGATCCAACTAATTCCATTCAAAATCTTTTTGAAATATTAACGCGGGTTTGAGATAATACACAAAATAATTGAGCATTTTTATTGTTGTCACTAATTTAGTTTTAAATCAATGGAAAAATATTTACATGATACATGTAATGTTATTTATAGTTTATTTTTTAATGATTTTTTTCTCAAATTGGTACAAAATTTGAGAAATATTTGAGACGTTGCATATAATATAGTGCATGTTTTAATATTTAAAAATATATTAAATTTGTATAGTTCTTTTTTATAAGCAATTTGTATATGGTAGAATTCGAATATGAGATCTTGAGAGAAACAAACTCTTAAAGACTCAATCTTTCACTACTAATCTACACACTTAGAGTTTTTTTTAATTGAATCTTAATGATTAATAATTCAAATTTGTTTTTAAAATGAAGCATGGATAAGCTAAGGAATATATGATAAAATTTTGTTTTTAGAAACATAGATAATTATAAATATAAAAAATAGTTAGTAATATATATATATATATATATATATATATATATATATATATATATATATATATATATATATATATATATATACTTCAAAAGAAAAAAACCAGAACTACTAAATTAGATTTTCATGAATTATTAATTTAAGTTTTTTATAATACTTAATTTTGTTCATTAAAAAAATTAGAGATTAATGATTAAGATTGAGGCCCAAGTATATACAAACCCTAAATTTTCCTTATATTTTCCTTATATTTTGTATATCTTTTAATATATATTTTTATATTTGTTTTATTATCATCACACCTTGTCTCTAATTCACCTCCTTTTCAATAACTCGTAGTTTATTTGATATATATTCTCTTCTTTTTTTTCTCTTTTTTTTATAAATTATGTTTGGAAGTTTAGTGAGAAAATGATAGGAGAATTTTGAAAAATATGAAGGATTTGGTGAAAAGAATATAAAGATTTTATTTAGGAGGGTTTATTTTTTTTCATAATATCAAAATCTCTCGAATTTAGGGGAGTTTAAAATTTATAATAGAGGAGGTTTTGAGAGTTTTGGGGGACTTAATCAATTTATTTAAATATAATTTTTGTTTTTATAGTATTTCAAAAACTAAAAATACATTAATGATAAATATTATTTTATTATTTTAAATAAAATCTTTTTTTTCAAAAAATATTTTTAAAAAAAACTATTTTTGAAAACCTTCTCTTTTTCTCCCCTCCAAACTTCCAAATATAGTCTAAGCTTCCATCAAGCTTTAATCCAGACTATTCCTTTGCTTTATTTATTTGTCTCTTATAAAACCATTGTTTTTGTGTGGGGATGTATCAAGCATTAGATTACAAAAGGAGGAATAGTTGAACCATAAAAGCACGAGAGAATGAAATTTTTTAGCAGGGTATCAGGTTCACCTAATTCTTTTTCATTCCTCATTTGAAATAAAAATTTGAACTGACTTGCAAAAAAAGAAAGAAAATGATTTGTTGTTAAATTCAAAGGTGAATTATAAATAACAAAATGACAAATTAATTTCATTTGCATCTCTCTCAAATGTTTAAGTCGACTACTCTAACATTAAAACAAATCACCATTACAATATAATAAAAATTACCTATACTTAGAAAGATAACAAAAATGAAAAGAAAAAAAAGAGAGAAAAACCAAGTTTCTAACACTGGTGCAGTCTTTTTATGATCACTTGCTAACAGCTAGAACTTCTGCGAATTCACTGCTCCTAACCCAAATTTCATATGTTATAAGCACTATAAACATAAATAGATCACAATGAGTTTAAACATTCATCAATGCTTATCAAATTCATGATTAATTAACATTCATCAATGCTTAGCAAATTCATGATTAATTCTGCATGCAAAAAGCTTCATATATTTACCATGAATATTATGATCTACGTATATTGCAAATATGTCCATGGATCCAATCCTTCCCACACCCGTAGCAGAAGTTACATCCACACCTAGAAACAATATAATCATTATAATTAAATTTCCATCAATATAATGTAATAATAATGAACTATACAGATTTAATTAAAATTAGAAGGTAATAAGATATACACAACCTGCATGAAATGTGTTCACATCCACCCTTTCTCTGAACATGCATTGAACATTTGGGACATTGCTGCCACTTTTTTCTTTTAGCCAACTCCAAAAATTTCTTATCCAATTGTTTTTCATCCCTTGTCGACTTCTGAAATTTCCGGCAATTCATATCAACGTGCCATGGAACTTTACATTGTGCACAGAATAGTCTATGACAAGAGGGACATTCACAACTTGTAACAACTTTTACCCCGTCATTCACCATCAAAATTGAACAATTCTCATAAGGGCAATAAAATTTGTGCTTCAGAGAAACCGAAGACTCGTAAATCGCAGATTCCCATTCAACAAGGAGGTCTTTAGGTAAAATAGATTGAAATTGTTGTGGTTTGAGTTTGGAGGAACATTCTGGTTCCGGACAGGTGAGTTTCACCACTTTTTCTTTTCTTTTAAGTTTGACATACTTGGATACGCATTTGGTACAAAAGCGGTGATTGCATGAAGGGTTTGTGAACATTTTAGAGTCTTTTACAGAATCAAAGCATATACCGCAGCTGAATCTTTTTGAGGATTTACCTTGATAAGCAGTTGTTGCTTTCTGCTTTTCATTATCGTTGTCTGCCTCAACAGATTGAAATCCATTTGCTTCATTATTTGTTGAATGGAAGTTGTTAGCTTTACATATCACGATGAAGGATGGAAGAATGTAATTTATTAATAATGATATTGGAGAGGCCGCCATCATGATTAATTGCCGTCTAGGTTTTGTGTGCTGCATTAATACTCAAATAGGGTTACGCTTAAATAACCAACTGTTCAGGCTCCTTTCATTTCATTTCATATAAGACACAAAAGCCCAATCAAATAATTAACTAATAATTGATAATTAACAACAATTAACTATAATGTAATTTAATAATAATTAATGAAAAAATAAATTAATTTTATATTATCAACCAATAAAGATTATGTATCCCGTCATATCACACTTTTATTTAAATTTTTTTTTAATAAGACTGTTGATTTTTTATTAGATGAACGTCTATTTTATACTATCAATGTATATTCATTAAATTTATAATTTATTAATAATTAATCATTAATAGAAAAAAAAGTAATTTATAATCAATTATTAATAGATTATATTCCATTAAAACAGACACAATCTATTATGAATAAATAATTTTTAAATTATAGATTGAAATAATAAATTGTCAATTAATTATAAATTTATATAACCATTTATAAATTAACATATTTAATTATTAATAACCTATTATAAATATATAAAAGTTAATAGCCGACATATTTACATTCTAAATCTAACTAAATTAGTTCTTAAGCCTCATTTCATGGATTTAATTGTCATTTTCATTTCTTAAAAATCTCATTAAATCGTTAATGTAATAATTTCATTATTAAGACCAGTTTACTTAATACTGTCAATAAAATCTGATTCTTTACATGGTACCGATACATTTACACAGTTTCTTTGACAAATGGTGTTAAGTGCTATTAGTCTTTACATAATTATCATTGCAGTGGAAAATATAAAGGTTTAACCTTTTATCAATGCAAGCAAAAACCCTACCCACTATAAAAATTAATGCAATGCAAAACTTTTCCTCCAATCGATATCTCTTCTATTCCGGTTTTTATTTTCTCTGTAAAGTTGGATATTGTTTTTCCTTGCAAATTTTGCGATTCATATCAATTATTTTTTATCTTATCCGATCAGAATTGAACCGTCACAGCTGCCTCGAACTGAATTTAAAGAAATGGGGTAGGGGGGAGGGGTACCTACAAGGCACTCCGATGATAAAGTAAGCGACAAAATAAGCAGTCAAATTGTATTTAGGTGTCTTAGAGAATGAATACCTGACCTCTTGGAACAGAGGATATTTATAGCCTCCAGCGCTGGGCCAAGGTCTCTTTATTTGGCTGACCAAAACTGGCCCAACAAATGGACTGTCAGGTTCTACGTGCGTAGTGGGGAACTGCACGTGGTCCCCTTCCTGGATGATGCTCTACGAAGAACAAGGAAGAACGGAGACGCGATCTTTCCGGAGCTCTAAAGATTCTGAAGCATCCGGAAGGACTGAGTCTGCCCTACAAGGAGGATGCTCGAGCGGGGCTCGAATTGGGGTGTCCGCGTCGGGGACGCTTCTCATTGCGGGCAGCAGCGGGCATACTCGTAATGGCCCGTGACCGGGTACGCTCGGGGAGTCTGGTTCCCAGCATAGCTTGAGGCACGACTTGGATCTGGGCCTTACTTATGATTTGGGCCAAGGGCAAGCCCAGTCCAGAACAGGAGCCCTCCAAGTCGTTGTTCCTGGCATAGGAATAATGACTTGATCCTAGTTCTCCTTTTCGCGGGGACCTCGTGTCCGACGCTGAGTTTTCCATGTCGAGGTGTGCTCGAGGATTGCTCGAGGAGATGCGCTAGTTGCGTCTGTTGGACACGTGGTGTGTGTGATGCGGTGGGAGAACTGACTTGAGGTTTTGCGTTTGTGTTCGCAAATATCACGGTTTAGCAAGAGTCGCCACCGACTTTTATTTTATCCAAAAGGAAAGGTAAAAAAGCACAGGAAAGACCTTTGAGATGTTTTCTTGAGTTCGGGGGGTAGATTATGAAAAGGGAAGGTGCTAGCACCCTTTTCATCCATGGTTTTCCATGGGCTCTTAGTTACTTGTTTAGATCACTTGCTTTTGCTTTGAAATTGTTTGAAATGGTGCTTTGTGTGGTTTTGAAAGTATTTTGAAAAGAGGCCATTGTTTAGGCAATCTTTGTAATGATTCTCGTTCGTAAGAATGTATACAAAGATGTTTGTCTTTTGAAAAATGTTTCAATGTCTTGAAAGTTGTTTTGAAATGTTTTGAAATGTGTGTGTGTTTGTTTTTGAAAATAGCAAGGATTGTTTTGAATTTGATCAAGTAACTAGAAGCTATCTACCTACTCAAAAGTCTTTCTTGTGCATTTTTATTCCTTTGACATTGTTGATTTACCAATGATTTGGTAAACAATCCTATCTTTGGATGTAAACGGGATGGACGTGGGTCATCGTATGACCATAATAGCAATGTTGCCAAGTATCTTAGCATGTTTGAGGGACCAAGATCAATCTTTGTTTAGGCAACCTTTTAATAGCGTCATCGAGGGACTATGATCTTATTTTTGTTTTGTTTTGCCAAGATACTTCGCATGTGTAACATGGCCATTTAAATTTAGGCAACCAAGTGGATGAAACCCTAAGGGTGTTTGTGTGCAATGTGTGTCATTTTTCATGCATTTGATTTGTCTTGTATTAAGTCTTTCTATTTGTTTTGTTTTTGGTCTTGTCATGCAAACCCTAGTTTACTAAACATGGTATAAATGCGATAAATTGCGTAAATGTAAACTAAACTATTACAACAATTATTATGGGAGGGAGGATATAAGTTTTTGAATGGGGATATTGCACAAAATAAACCCTAAAAATACTATTACAACCCAATTGAATATTGCGTGAAATAAATAAACATACAAATATTTAAATATGCAATGCAATGTATTTATGGAAAAAATGTTTTGTATTTGTTTAAGGTATGAGAAAATAAAATTAATTAACCCTAGAAAATAAGGAAAAGCAATAGTATTATTTTTTAAAGAGTGAAACCCTAATTTTTTATTAAAAGAAAAAATATGTTTTCTATTATTTATTTTGTTCATTTTTTGTACAAGAAAATAATAAATAATATTATGTACAAATATTAAAATTAAGTATGTGTAAAAAATAAATATTTTATGTGTATAACTAATATAATAAAAATGTATAGTATTTTTAAATATATTTACAATTTATTTAAGAAAATAAAGTATATTATCCTAATAAACTATTTTTTATGTCAAAAAATAATATAAAAAAAATAAAACAAAAATGTAAAAAGTAAAGAAATTATTTTTCATGATTTTTATGATTCAGAAAAAAATAAATAAAAGTAATAAATACAAAAATATAAAAAGAAATATGAAAAATAAAACAAATATGCCAGGGGGTGCAAATAGTGGTCAGGGGGTGTGAATAACAAAAGCAAACAGGCCCAAGGCGCCAAGGCCCAGAACATCATCTTCATCCCCGTCCTTCAACTTTGCGCGCGTATCATGTACAAACCTGCAACTTGCTATTGCTTGCATAAAAACAAAAACTTATAACACAAAACATGTAGCATTTTATCCCACGATTCCAATGATATAAAATTTGTAATCTAACTCTCAAAGATCAGGGAGAATTTTAATGGCCCTAAATCGTGACCTAAATATTTCAGCAACTTTAAGCTTCAAATTCTCTTAGCTCAGTTAATATAAATGACAAGTATGCATAAGTACAGCTTCACCATGTTAAGGACTACATTTTTGCTTCACAAATCGTGGCTTGAGGATGCCTAAATAGAGAGATAGAGTTTTGAAAAATACCTCCTTCAGCTGGATTTGGATATGACAATGTGGGGACTTTGAGTGAGGCCTGAGGATAGTGTGAGCTTCCTTGAACTTCCTTCAAACTATTCCAATACCAAGCTTGCTTTGTGGATGGCCAGAGCTCTCTGTAGAAGTCAACTTGCAAGCTTCCAAAGTGAAAATGTCAATGGCTGAAACTGGGGTTACAGCAACAATGTAAAGGCTTGGATAACTTTAGTATGATGTATGGAAGGTGTTTGAAGTGTTGAAACAAAAAACGCACGAGCCAAAAATGAAATGGCTAGAGTTTTGCAGCAACTGGCAGTTTTGGCAGAAAAATGAAGTTTTGGAGTTTTGGAGAGTTTCAGATGTTTAGCATTCGTGTTCTGAGTTGTGACCAGTTTGTGAATATGTATAGAATGATACAAAGTCCACTCTTCCCTTGCTGTACAAGTTCTGACTTCTTTTGCAACTTTTCTTGCATTTGAAGAAAAGTGACAAGACAAATGCACCATGCTTGTACTAGATACCTCAAGGGCTGATAAGAGTCGGTATGCTTTGCTTGATATCTGTGGAAGTTATTTGTACCAAAGGAACAGGTCCATGGCTCAAGGTTGATAAAGTTACAAAAGCTTGCCTTTATGAAAATAACAATGTGCCCTTTATGCCATTAATGGAATTATCTCTTGTACAATGTTCCAAAAGCCAAAATAAAACTTTTATCTTCTGAGTTAGCATTAAATTATGGAGTGTAGAATGAGTTTAGGACCTGTAATGCAAGGTACAAGCATCCAAGATCATATTTGCAACTTGATACTTTGTGAAAATGGCATGAACAAAAGTGATAAAATGCCAATTTATCTTCTTCGATTCTCCCTAACCACAAATGATCTTGGAGAGTTCTTGGATATTTTAGAAAGCTTACAATGTGATCTACAATCCATGTTTTAAATGCATTTTGAGATACCTCTTGGAACTAGGTGAAAAATGTCCATGAAGGTGGGTCAAAAAATTGCCTAAATTAGGGCAAATTTTCACTAAGTTATTTAGTTCATAGACCTCTATTCACAATTTCATAACTTGAGATCCAAACAACTTTTGGGAAAACTTTGTGAATAAAAGTTGTAGATTTCATGGAGGACTACAACTTTAATGTTGGAAGTTTTCTTTGAATCCAATTTCATTATGATGAAAAAATGGTGAAAAGTTGGGAAAAATAAGAAAATTTCCATACTTAGAAAAATTCTAAGTTATGAAATTTTTCAAATTCAAAACCCTAATTTTCATAATTAGTTTTCTTGGTGAACAAG